ATTGTAAATGAGATCCACTCGGAGGCCTGTGAATCACGCCAATTTGGCCAAGAGCTGGGATTAAAATAGTCTTTGGCACTGAGCAGAAGGAAGCAAAGAACAAGCAGGGCAAGGTCCATGTTGTCCCCGCCCGCTCTGCCCAGTCTGACCCATGCAGCAACTGCTGTCCGGTCATGCTCACCATTTATTATTTCTTCTGGAATGACCAACGAACGGGCAGGAAAGTGAGGACTCGATACAAATTCTAATAAAGATTCAGGATTTCTCATTTTATTGCATTCGTTGTCTAACAACAATAATACTCATTGGCAAGAAATTTATTTACACTAACAAATTAACTTTAAACCACAAGGCTTTGTTGTTTGTATTTAAACTGTAAGAAAACAAAGGGCCACCATGATGTTTTGTTTTCATGTCTCCCAATAACTAAATATTAACCAAAGTTATTTTGGGGAAAACTCAACGATCTAGAGAAGGTCCTATCAACCAAGCACAAGAGAACAAGCTCAGACATGGCACTACTGTGTCTTTCATGCAGATGATCCGACACCAAGATGTACAAACAAAAAGTTCAGGATAACATGCACTCCATATACATTTGACCTCTTTAAAAAAAAGAAAAGAAAAAGGAAAAAATCTGAAGCGCAACCACCTCTTCAACCATATAAAAAGAAACAATGTAAGAAGCCAATTTTTACAGTGAGCACAGTGCATTTTAGTCTTTTAGCTGCCTGGTCTTCTAGCAATATGTCTAACACTTGTCAGTGGCCAGTGAGTTACCATTGCAACATGACTGGAAAACACGAAAGCAGTTGTTCATACAGTAAATGCGTATGGGGAAGTATAGAGTCAGAAGAGGTTCACTCTGCACTCCCCACTTCCAAATGGGCTGGTTACTCCTTACGCCTGGTGCCCTGGGATCCCCCTTGCCTTCAGACGCTTCTGCACCGGGGCCCAAACCCGCTTCCACTGGTGTCAGTGACAAAGCTCCCACTGAAAACCCGGCAGGAGGCTCAGGCTCCCGGGTTATGCGGCTTGGACCCGACCTCATGAGCTGCGAGCCTTCCTCACCTCTCCCCGCTCTGGAAGAGGAAACCTGCTTAACTCAGCAGACCAGGTTTCACAAACCCTACGGCTCGTTCCTAACACAGTGCAAACTTCCCAAAGAAACAGGCAGCTCAAGGCACTACCGCCAAACCTTCCAGTAAGATGCGTGTTTTTTAAATCACTACTTAATGCCGACAGCAAAAGTACCAGTTAGTACTGCCGGTTAGTAACAGAAAGCTCATTTTATAATGAGGGATTGGAGGGCTCAACGTCATGACTAAGGTGTCACAGCTTTGAAAAATCAGTTTTACAGGTGGAAAAAGTACAGTAAAATCCATACGGGAGGTTAACAAAAGGGACTGAGCAATCTGCAGATGACCCACGCTCCACTGCGGTGAGTGGGTAAGTCACCTCGGATGTCACTCATAATCCTGCTCAAAAACGAGCTGCTGAAAGCGCTCCAATAGAAATCAAAGTTAGGGTTAAAAATATAAAAAAGGTTTCCTTCCTAGAATACTGACACTCCAATAAATCAATCCTGCCAACCTCCTACCCCCAAAAAAACAATCCAAGGACAACATGCAGAAGGACCTGCAGAGGACCATTCTGCATATGGTTTTAACAAAGCTTTAAAATCTTCCCCACAAGAAAAGAGCGAGCAAAGCTACCAGCACAGACAGGGGTGAGCACGCCGGTGAGACCGAGGGGTAGTGCTTTGCTCCTCCGAGCTTGCAGACAGTCCCGGGGCCCTCTGCCCACTGCGCAGACTGTGTGCCTACAGCCCTGTAACGCACAGCTACCTGTGTGCTCCCTGCTACTAGTGCAGCATAAATCTGTATGAATATCCGTGTATGTACATCTGTATGTACACACACAAAACCATACATATTTATTTAAAGAGCGAATCAAGCCACAAATCACTTAAACATTTCTAGAAAGACTAATTGTCTTCATTATTTTCGATCACTAATTTAACAAAACTAAATGAAAACCATCTAATTGCTCTGTGCACTCTGCCCATTTTGACTGTTAGACTTACAACTTAAATATGTGCTGCTTTTTTCAAACAATTGGTTTTTTAGTGTTTTGGACCACGACACAGGTTTCCTGAGGTTTTCAAGTGAGGGAGAGCACACAATGAGGGAAGTGGTATTAAAAGGGTCCAGCCCTTCTATCGCTTAGTTTGATGATAGTGCAGGGGACGAGGCCACACATAAAAGGAGCAAGATCAGGTTTTACTTTTGCCTTGACAATATTTTCTCCCTGTAAACACACGGCTAAGAACTCAACAGAAGACTTAATTCTTGCAAATTTCAGTACCAAGAAACAGCACAGACTGCAGTGTGGATGCTGTCAAGATCTACAGCTGTGCAAACCTTTCCTTTTGATTTTCAGTGTTGTGTTGGTACCTGGAATGGTACTTCCTGGCCGTACCCAACCAAATGACGATCCTCTTCCTTCCTACTGTAGAACTGAATTCTGCACTATTAACAAGAGTGGCATTTCTTTATCTGACTTAAAAGTGGAACACAATTCATTCTCAAAAATCACAGAACATTGCCCACCTCTTACTCGCCAGCACGTGAGCCAGGAGGTGAAGGTGGAGCAGCTCAGGACAGGAGGCTTTGATGGAAGCAATGAAGTATGAGGAACCCCGATGCTCAGTGTCAAGCACCTCTGAATGTCACTGAGAGCTGAGGACTGGCAAGCTTCAGGGGAAAGCTGCTCAGTAATTCTAGTAAAAGCTCGATTCTTGTGGTATCCCTGCAGCAGACTAGAGTCATGGCACAATAGATGCTTTTGCAAAAAAATTTTAAAAAGTTAAAAAAATGCAAAAGCATTTGTATACACTGAGATACAAAACATCACCTAACTCTGTTCAGCTTTTTATTACTGGCTTCTGTTCCACTGTGCAATTCTAAACTATGATCTAGAACAGGCTCCACTTACAATCACCCCACCAGACCTGCTCAGAGCGGTGGGTGAAATGCAAACAGCAGTGGTCAATACTCTATGCATTGAAATGAACAGGTTTGGCTCCTTCCTCACGCCCTGGTCCTGATCTGCCCGGGCAGATTGAAACCGAATTGGGAGTTTTAACACAGAAGTCACGCGGGTGCAGCACGCCACCACATGGGAAAATACGAGCTGGAAGCAAGTAATGTCTGTATGTTTGGCTGACTTGGACAGAGCAAGGAGCCACCACTCTCTCCACAATCTCAGTATAAACACTATGCAGTAAGTAACCTGCAGTGTTGTATCTTTGATTTTCTATTTTTCAGAGTTCCATTTTTTGCTAACTCTCCTTTCTTCACCCTTTCAGAGGCTCGACAGATTCACAACCTGGCAATATCGCAGCAATGAGCAGAACTAGAGTTTACAGAACTGGCCTACCATCGTAACCAGGGAGAAGTCAACTTCACCAGCCTGCTGTGGTCACCTAGGTGTAAAGATGACAGAGACGCACAGCTAGAGGTGTGGAAACACCACACTGCCTGCACAGCAGTTTAAAGGTGGCCAGGCAAGTCAGCATACTCAAAATTGCTTTAGCTCCACAAATAAATATGCAAAAGTAGATGACAGTTACATTTGCAGGTGAGCCAAGAGAGAAAGTCTTTCCAGTCATTTAGCATGGAATATTTGTTTCTTATTACATCAAAACCCCACATTAGTCTGACTTAGCATTGGTTTACAGGAAGTTTAAGTTAAGAATGATGAGACATCCATATCTTTTGTTTCATCTATGTCATTAGACAATACAAGGGGGAAAAAATGCAACACAACTTTAAAGGTCCTATAGAACAGTAACAAAAGTTTCAAACTGTGCTTTACATCTGTTATCCAGTGACATTTCTGCACATCCCGACAATGAGTTACCATACTTAATAAAAGGAACCACATAAATCTCTTTTATCACAGAAAGAAGAGCACAACTCTTGACATTGCTCGGTTTGCTTAGTTTTCATCTGTTGATCAAAATGCATTTTATGGTTTTATTTTAAATTTAAGCTACTAGGTTTTTTTAAGTTAGGTTTTTGTTGGTTTTTTTCAGTCCAAGAATAATAAAATAACATTACCACAAAGCAATAAACCCCCCCTGCATACTTAAAGGACATAGGTCAAATTAGTTGTTCTGCAGTATAAGAATCTGATTTACGAAGAGATTAACTAGGCACTGTTCTAAGCAGCAAGAATGAAAACTCAATGTATAATGCCAACAAGTCTGCTCAGGTTTCTAAGAAAACAAAGAACATAAACCAGGGACACCACCTTAGATTACTATATACAACCGCTTAAACATTACTACAATGTAAACATAATTTAAAAAGAAAATAATCATCGAATGCATTTATCAACATTGTATTTAAAATATTAAATTTCCAGTTTCTTCCAGATAACTTCTCTTAGTCAAATATAAACTGACAACCTCCTAAATAACAGAATACTAGTTTTATGAGGCTGTTAAACATTTGTATAGTTTTTCTCCTACAAAGAGTGCAGAAAGATTTGCTGCAATGTGGAATTCTTGTTAGCAGGTGTATTTTTTTGCCGGTGGGCTATCTCAAGAAAAATACCACAAGCCTTTACAAATATCAGGAAGTACCTTTTATGGCAATTTCATTTTTAGATCTGAATAAAATATACATCAGAAACTTGCAGAAATTGGATTTGGAAAGAAAAATAAAGCTAATGCTAAGTAGACCTGTTGTGTATTAATTTTGAATGAACTAGGCTCTCTCAGTTTACAGACCATTTTACATGTCAAAGAAATTATTAAGATCAAAAGAAATTTAACTATAAACATTGCACCCCAACTGTTTCAAATCTGAGCTTCAGAGAACTTTACAGACACAAATCTGAATGCCATGAAGTACAGAGCAGAAGAGAAGCCAAGCCAAACGAAAACAAACATTTTCCTCAAAAGAATTCAATATTTGCATTTTTTAGGCTGGCAAATTTTTAAGTTCAAGATTCCAACTTCACATCAACATCTTAAACAAATTATGGGTTGGCATGACTAGATGAAGACTGCGACTTCCAGGATGCATGAAAGGGAAGTGACGTTTCTCAACTATAAATGCCGCTACGTAGTTAGCTTTGACTACAAAGCAGTAAGCTAATACCTCTAGCTTCTTGTGGTGGATATTTGCCTGTTGTCTGTCCATTCTTTTGAAGAAATACCGAGTATTTTAATACCGCTCTTAAGAGGCAGTAACACCATGCAGTGCGAGCTATACACTGCTTCTGTCATCGTCAAAATTACACAGCAGGCTTCACCGATGGCCTCATATACCAGGAAAACAGAAATCTCTGAAGGTTGTAATACGACCATTGCTAAGCCATCAAAACATTCTACAACCTATGCCCAAAAATTCAGGTTTTGGTGGGGATATTCTTTAAATGTATCGATCAAAACAGTTAATATATGGCAGCTTTGGATTTAGTAACTGTCACCTCCATGGCAGCATTGATCTTAACAGCAATGTATTGAATTTAATTTTAACCAGAATCCCTCGTCTTCCTCTTCTTAAAGTGCACTTCTGTAAAAACTGAAAATCTTCAGCAGACTCAAGTTTGATAATCGTTTTCAGCAACAGTTTCATAACAGCACAGCACAAAGGTTATTCTCCCAATGCTTACTGGGGAATGAATCTGAAGATGTGGTGTTTTTCTTGGAAAAAAACCAAACCAAAACAAAATAAGCCTGGTTTCCTGTTCAAAACACATGAAAAAGAAAGCGGAGTGTGCTATAAGAAAGTTGCCTACACACTGGGGGCACAATGAAATTTATACAGATCTATATGCTGTGCTCTAGTTAGAAATTCATCCTTGCTCAGATATCTAAAGGATAAATGTTATCCTCAGATTTCTGTGTAAACCCACAAAATCAGTTAAGGCTTTGCCTCCTTCCTGGATTAACTATTGTACAGTTAACAGAAAGAGTTTCACCTCCTGTCTTTTTTGCCCAGGGGGAATATTGACTCTCCTGTCTTTATCTCCAGTGTATAACAAGAAGTCACTGAACAGCTGTGTTTCCAGAGTACTGTCGCTTCAAGGTACTGGCGCAAGATGAAACTTACTCCAGTAGACGGAACTGAGTATCCAAACACCGTAAAGAAGCTGAACTTCCAGTTAGAAAGTTAGGTCAACTTTTATCAGACAGAGCACAACTCCTTTTACCCAGCTGAAGAAACGTTCACCAATCGTTTTGACTGGCCATCCTATTCAGAAGAGGTGAAGCAGTGGACCATGCTCCTCGGCATCATGCTGGTTACTGAAGTGACCAAACACAGAGAGCTCAATAGAGAAGAGTAGTTTGGAAGGAAACACCGCCACACAAATATGAAATCTGTTAGCTGTCAACAACAACAAAACAAACCGAGGGGCTGGGGTTGTTTCACATGGCAACAACAACGAGCGTGAACTGGGTATGCGGGAAAATAAAACTACACAATATAAATTTCCCTAGTCATTCTATGTATAGCCCCATTTCTCTGTACACACTCTTGTGTAATGAATACAAGAAAGCTGAAGGGGCACCAGAGTGGATATGAGTTTCTCTTCCCTTGAAGTGCCTCCACTTTCCTAACACAGCAGCACTTCTGCTTATCACTGCTCATTAGTGCCCTCTGTTGCATCTGATGAAGACTTGTCTGTTTTCTTCGATTTCCTCTGCAGTTGCTCTTGTTCCTTCTTCCGAAGCTTTTCCCTTTGCTTTTCCATTTTCTCTTGAGCTTTGCGAGCTTTCTCCAAGGATGCTTTCATTTCCTTTAGCTTTTTTTTAATGATTGCTCTGTCCTGGGAAGATGTCATACCAAGAGCCTGAGGTGGGGAAAACAAAATTAAAAAAGAAAAAGAATTTTATACGGTTTAATCTATTACAAATTTTTTCATATCCTAGTAATAACTCTTCTTAGGTAGAAGACTATAACAATTAAGCAAATTTGAGAAAGACTCACATACATTACTGATGTGTAATACACATCTGTACTTCTTTCCACACCTTCCACTTCTAGAATATTAAAGAATTAGATCTCATTGCCACCGCCAATGTTGATTTCATTGATCAAATGAGGCAAATAAAGATTAAACTATTTGCCTGAAGTCATCTAAGTCTACATAGAACAAGACTTCCCAATTCTCACTGCTATGCCTTAGTCAAAAGTTCACTTGCTCTCTTCTAAACCCCCTAGAGTTAGTGAAATGCCTGCAAAAAAATTCAGAAAGGAAACACCAAACTTGGACTTTCAGATCTGCTGAGCTTCCCACAACTCCTTCCTGTAATTATTTTTGACAAAAGTAGGCTCATATTTTCACTACAAGAAACAATGCATACTTTATACATCAACTACATATTTAGTTCTAACACAGTACAACTGGTATCAGCTTCTGCCTCCAGTATCCCACTAATCCATTTTTCAGTTGCTACTTCTGATGTATGTCTATTTACTATCTTCTCTGAATCACCCTTTCGCAAAACAGAGCTGGATGAGAGATACGTGCATGCAAATACCACTTATACATGCTGCTATATGATTTACACATGCAAATATGGGTACGTTACATACACCCAGAGTTTTCACAATGCAAATGCCCTCTATTTCTGAAGTTTCGGAATCCAAGTGCATATGGCAATTTCTTAAACTGTTTCGGTGGCTTTATACTCTGTGTTTATTATTCTAGTCTATCACCACTCCACACGCAGGGATTCACTGCTTTCTGGCCAAATTCTCACTTCCTTTAAGATTACCCAAAGCGACAACAAATAGTACAGTTAGTCTTGAAGTCCAGTCAGTCAATTACCTTGAGCTTACTCCCATCCAGCTGAAGGAGATGCTCCCCGTTAATGTTTTGGGCACTGAATTCAGAAACATACTGTTCAAGGTTCAGGCTCATTAACCAGTGGGAAACCTGCTGCACACTCCACTCCTGAACAGCACGACTCTGACACTGACTGTGCTTAGGAGACTGTCCATCGTCAAGGATCTGTGACAAAAACATGCTGCATTATTATTACAAGGGTAACACGGACGAGTAACAACATTTTTCGGTACAAACCACCAGCATCAGAGCAGAGATATCTGTACTACCTTTACACTATAATAATAACAATTTCACACCGCTATATTACATCTGTATCTAACCAGATATCTAAGAACTGGTACAAGGTACCCAAAAAGTCTTCTATCTATAAATAGAAGAATAAAAAGGAGCTGGCGTTCCTTTTAACCCAAACAGGGGCTGAAATGGCCAGGTGCCACAATTCAAAACAGGTGTGCTCCCATTCCCTCGCAAGATTTTTATCCTTCAAATTAGAACATTTCTAAAGGATGCAATGAATTCTGCATTCCACTTCCTGGGCTCACTCGCAGATCTTTATGATGTGTTTAAGCTATAAAACAAGAAATTCAGGGAAAAAAGAACCTCGGAAAACCACTCTAAAGTTCAAAGTGATGACATCAAACAGCCAGTGAGACTGACACTATCTATGGAAGACTATGAGATGACACAGAGGAGCGGCAAGAGACACACAGCAATCCCACAGCCCTGGCCCTGCTCTCATCATGTTGCGCTGCTGCTGCGGAGAGCACAAACACAGCACCAGGAGGGGCAGGTGGGGCGTCAGCTGCTGGAGCAGCCCCGTGTCCCTGCTCTGCCACTTTATTCCACCCAGGGATGTGCCAGTGGGGTCTGAAACAAAAGCTACTCTGTCCCAGCCATGGTCAGCAAAGCAGCTGCTACAGGCTGCAGCAGCTGTCTGCTGTTAGAGCAGCTTTTACACTGGGTTAGAGGATGCTGGGAGCTCTCTCAACTTCTGGCTGTCCAGTTCTCAGGGCTGGGGAAAAGATGGTTTAAGCACTATCTTTTACTTCTCCTATCGCCAGCAGGAGCTCAGTGCAGCTGATGCTTGGCCTGGTGGATTTTCTCCGATCCTCCTCCCCTTTCCAGCATACCGCAAAAGCTGAAATTTGCTATGGCCTTGAAAACTCTTAGCAGAAAGGAGAGGGGAACTCAAGACAAGGCGAGAGGGGCCAGTGACACCTGCGTGTTCTGCTCAAACCAGGGCGTTTGCCACACAACACCGTAAAACAAGAAATGTGAATCTGCAAATGAGACGATACGTTGCCACACGATGGTCACACAATTCACCACAACAGCACACTAGTATCTCACCTCATCATCAATCATATCCAGGCTCTGAGTGAGGGAGCAACAAAGAAATGGGAAAGAAAAGCATTATAGAAACAAAATACAGAACATGTAACAGCACGTAAAAGTTCAGGCAAGGGCAGCACCAAGATTTGCAAACAGATATGGCTACTCAAAACCAAAGAGATTTCTTTAAAAAAAATTATTTCCAGAAGCAGAGAGGTTATGTTGAAAGCTCAGCACACACATGATTTGGCAGCTAAGCCTGACTCTGTGTCAATGAAACCCCCTTGGAGTTCCTGGTCTTGACACCCTAGAACCGGTGGGAACCTTCCTGATGGCTCCAACTGCAAGAGCAAAAGCTCCTTAATTAGACGAGAACCTGCAAGAACTGGGTTCCTTCCCCACCCTTTCATTTTTTTCATCTCCTTCAAATAATCATGTCAGATCTGCCAGAGAAGCCTGAGCGAAGGAGCGCTTGCAGCAATATGCTATGAAAGGCTGAAGAGCAATGCTGGCCTAATCCCCTGCCAGGGTGGTTGTGGAGGTTTCCGCTGCAGCTCGTGCTGAACACACTGCCCGATTCGGAGGCTGCAGTTTGGCACACAGCAGAGGATGGAGAAAACACATTCATTTTTATAGACCTGTTCAGGCTTGATATTTTAGAAGTGATAGAGAGCTGAACAAGCAAAATAAAAGCATTTTCAAGCTTCTAATTCAATACCACTGGCAACAGGGCATTGTCACAATAAAATACATAATATAAGGGGAATGAAACATGGTAAGAGAATGAAATGTATTATCAAGATAGTATTAATACTAAATAAAGTGTAAATGATGACTTTGTTGTTTTCAGTAATTCATAGAATATACAGACCTGTCTGCACTCTCTTATGACTCTTATAAATTTCTGCCCTTTATTACCTGCAGTAAGTAACTTCTAAACAACAGCTGGGTTTGTAGACTTGCATTTTGGCAAACGGGGTTGCACGGAACAGCTCTCATTCTTTAAATGCATGCAAAGCATGCAGGCAGTAATAGAACAAACCTAATTGTCATAAAAAAAATAAGACACAGAGACTTCAAGTTCCTCCTCTCTAGAAAAAAACCCTGGCTCAAACCTTGCATGAAAAATGTGAAGTTCTCACAGAGTGTTTGTAAAAGAACAAAGGCACAGGTTTCCTGAGTCCACAGGACACATTGGCAGCTACTGTCAAATTGTGCAACTTCACTGACAACTGAGTTACAAAACTAGTATCTTAAGAAAAGTATTTTCAATATATTATATTCAGCTCAATTATGTCACCAATTTACAGGGTTAGGAATGCTTTATCACATTATCACTGTTCGAAAGAACTCTGGTTTGAAGTAACTGAATTCAAATCCACTGTGCAAAGCAAGCACAAAGAATGCAAAGTGGATTAACACATATACGTTCTAATCAATACACATACATTCAGGTACAGTAACACACAATTACTGCATGTACAGGTCATTATTACTTTAATGTATCAGGGTAAAAATTAGTCTAGGTGAAGGTGCCTTACATCTCAACTATATTTACCAAACTATACTGTATATTTATTATCTCAAAATTGCCTCAATTATGTCTAGTTTAGTGTATGTGTATATATATCTATGGGTCAACATGTACATATTCAGAATGTAGGAAAAATGTATTGGAATGTGTGAGGATATAGCATCTCTTAGGAAACCAACTGCATTCTACTTTCCTACAATAATACCATAGGACCTTTATTTCAAGTCATTAGTATATGAACAAGAAAAATCATAATCTAGAAACCAAGATTAATTTTCTTCTCCCATTCTACTGCCTAAAAAATATCCCTTTATTATTTGAGTAATTATCAAGCAAAATGCCATGGGAGAAAGAAAACAACTATTTCCCACCTTAAACAATTTCATCAGCATACCTCATCTGATGACAGTGCTAAGGAGTGCGAGAAACCTGGGGTTTTAGGTTCTGCTCCTAAACCGCTCAGATCAGCTGAACTTGTGCTGCTGGGACTGAAATCATCGTTGAACGTGAAATTCTGTGGAGAAAAAGATGAGGTAGAATGAACAAACGATCTCATAGGTGCATCCGAAAGGGAAATTTGCTTTCTGTCTTCCAGGTTGGCATAGTTCAGGAGTGATTTCAATCATTTACCAAACCAGCTACAAAACACATGATGAAGCCTAATTTTTAGTATTGTTAATATTTATAGAATACACAGTATTTTTATCACTGTGTACTTCAAGAGACACCTTTGCCAGCTTAATGCCTCAATGAATAGCAAAGGGGTCTGAAAGCAATTTCCAGATTCCCTCTTAAGATGCTGGCTCTCATCCTGGAGCTAAATTACTGCTTCCGCGGGTTAATCACTAGCATTTTACTGTCCTCCAAATACTTAGGACAAGTGTAGCACAGGCAGTAGCATAAAGAATAGGACAGAAGATTAATTAGCAGAGAGAAATGGAAACTGCTGTTGAAAGAGCAAGAAGAATATCCTGTGAATCCATTTCTGGGTCCCAAATAATCTCCCAGAAAAGTGAAAGGATCCTCCCTCTTTGCCTATACCTTTAGAAAAAACTGGAATTGAAAGTAAAAGAGATCTTTGGATATTGAATGTTATTTACTGAACTAATAACCATAAAACAAACCCTGTTTTTTCTTAACAATGCAATGACAGACATCACACCTTACAGCAAAGAATAGCAAAAGCGTGCGGATATTTTCCAGGAATACAGCAAAATTATCATCAGAAGAAGACAAAAATTAACAAGTATTTCACATTGGAGTGAGAACCATAAAAAAAAAATTCTATAAAAAATTAAGGACACCATGATATTCCATTTAACTTGAACATACAGTTGATGATACGGAGACCTCTAATCTCTAATCTAAAATCTAAATGAATATCAAATTCAGTTCACCTTTGATATTAAATTTAAAAAAAGGATCCAAACATCAAAACCAAAAACAACACTAAAAAAGTTATCCTTTTATCCCCCCCCCAAGATATTTGACCTATTCTTCCTGAAAACAAGAAGTCTTCCAAAAATATCAAGTGTTGGTCCTCTTAGTTTTGCTGGAAATCCAGCTAAATATTGGTATCATGCTGTGCTTTAAAAACCTGAATAGCAGTATAGGAACTGTTAATTTAAGAGCTTGCAAACTTTACAGAGAACATCAAAATCTTTTTGTGATCAGTTTTCTCACACCTACGTTTAGAATTCCTGTTCTGCTTTTCCCAGCTCTTTATAGAGAACAAGAAAATCTGAGCAGCTTCCTTAATATGCAAACTTTTAGCCCCCACAGTGTTCTTAGGCTAAGAGTTCAACAGCTCTACCCCCTGTTGTGTGAAGAACATCTTCTTTTTTAAGTACTCTGATTTTTCTTTCACCTCTATTTTGTGCAGGCTTCAGCTTTACAATGAATGTAAGCCTTTAAAATTTAATTTTCTATAGGAAAAACACAAGATAGCCAAGGCCTGCTAATAACTATGATAGGGGGACACCCCCCCTCTCAACCTCAACCTAATCCTAACTGTAAAAAGGGGTGCTTTTTTCCCCATTTGAAAATTATTTTTATACAATGTTTGTTTAAAGGCACAAATAGGATTTACACGTCTAATCCTCATCTTTCTTTTTCAAAAGAAACCCGGTAACCAATTAGTTTCTCTTTAATCTTCAGAGGTTTCATCTGTGGTCTTCTCTATCAATCTGTTTTGGACTGGTCAGCCTTGTGTTGCTCTCCTTACCAGGTAACACAAGCACAGCTATGACCTTGCATAGCTTGGTGCACGGCAGAAGTAAGGTATCACCAGCTTTTGGCACCAAAAGAGTAAGAAATGCCTGTGGAAACTGCTATTATGTACATGCACGTGTTTGCAGAAGATAGAGAAATTAGATTTCTGATTCATATTCCTGTACATAAAGTTGAGAACCATTATCTGTTTCTTTTTACCAAACCAATATAAAAAGTCAACTGCTACAAGTTATAAGAAGATATAGGCAGAGAAATATTTTCCAGAAGTGACAATAAACATGATAAAGCCAAATATATTACTATAACTAAGGGTTATTTAAGGAGTTATCATGCTGAAACATTCATGCACATAGAAAGGAATCACACAGATGTATTAAATTGCAATAGCTCATATTTACAGTTCAAGCATCTTCATATAGAGAATTAAATCCAACATCCAGCATGCATGACAAACAGATTTCATTATTGGGGGAAAAAAGGCAGATGACTGACGGCATACAGCATTTCTTCACTTGCAAACACCTCATTTAACATGGGTAGGTATTCCCACCATCAGTCCTGAAGAATGCAGAAAACATCTAAAATTGAATACACAAATCTAGCATTTGTTCAGTGGACCCAAATGCTAATTTCCACTGGCACCACTTGCTTTTGTTATGGTACAGCACACCACAGTTAGTTTACTGAATTAATGTACATTAAGACAGAGTAAAAAGGTAGAATGTGGAATGGTACAATGACAGAGATGTTCTATTCGGATGAGCTTTTACCGTACAATGAACACCATGCACTGTTTATTGTAGTAGTCACATATTGGCCTGTTCTTTTTCCAGAAACGTGTAAGCCAATTATGTCACTCAACACAGTGGGAATAAGGTAGTTTTTATTTTCTACCTTTGACCCTTTTTTAGCTGGGCTTATATTTTCAGAGGAAGGTTCAGTTGAGCTGGCAGGTGATGGCAGGTTGCTAGAAGAATTGGATCCCTTGCCACTCTCTCCATACCACGTGAATGGTACACAGTGTGGGAGAGAGGAGGATCGCTCTGCTAAAGATTTAGTGTTTGCTGATTTCTGCAACATCTCTCTGGCAGTCCTGTTTAAAAGAAAGGAGCAGGAATATGAGTTAGATTATAAAATAAGAAACAAAATGCTACAGAGGCAGTTAATTGTAAAAAGAGTGACATTCCCTGTAACTGTGACTAAAGAACTGAGTGGCACACAGCTGGTAGGAGCATGCCTGAAATCTCTCTTTCAGCAAAAGAAAAAAGGGGGTTCTTTTGATTCTTTTTCTAACTCAAGCTCTTAGACAACATACACCCGACAAACGGAGACAGACACCAGCTGAAAATGCCTGTACTCCCGCTGTTCAGATGTGAACCAGCTCCAGTCAAGAAGCCACATGTTGTGCTGCTGCATTTCTGAGCCCCAGTGGTATCTCAGCATGATTAAATAGATTAGACTCAGCGCTAACCCAAGCGGGCTCTGGTTCCCACAGAAGGTCTGGCTTGGATTTTGAGCACAGGCAGAATGAATCAGGTGTGCCTGTATCCATCTATGGAGATGTGCCTTTGTTACAACAGCTAAATACTGATTATCTTGATTTTAACATTATTAAATATTAAAAATATTAATATAGAAAAATGAAATAAACACCTATGTGATATTATCAGCTTCTCTCTTTGTAGTAACAAAGATTGCAGTGGATAATGTGATCAAGGCAAAGGTAACAGTTATAAAATAAAATGCCTAAATTATTCGCTAAATGTATCATGTCAACAATACAGTATGTAATTTAAGAATAACTATGCGAAGTGTCTGCCTCAAAGAACTTACGCATATGTCATATTCTCATATTATTTACATCAACGTATATATTACTGTTCAGAGCATTAAACTTCTACTGCTCTTAGCAGCCACCAATAAATTGCACGTATGTAAATCTCCCTTCAACTTCTACCTTCTGGCCAGCTTCTAAATCATTATTAACACGATCACTAGAGCTTTGTATATTGTGAAGCCTCTTTTCTGTACAGATGAAACTGAGGTTGTCAAAGGGCCCCCACCCATGGAAGCAGAAGCAGAATCCTCCCTCCCTTTAGCTACATAAAGAAAGGTAGATGTATCTGACCCAGTCCTGTATTCCTCCCTCATCCTCTAATCTTGCTTGAAAGTGGAAAGAAAAAGCAAATGATGTTGCCCGAATCACCTAGCTTCAGGCAGGGGAATATATGCTTCTTACTTAAATAGGGAATTTTTTATATATGTAACTTCAGTGATAGTCTTAGGAAATAATTCAGGATTTTATTTACACATCCTGAGTGCTATTTTTTGGCAATGGCAAAATAATGCATGCAACATCCACCTAACAGTGTGATTAATTCTACATCAATCAGTTGCTGTAATGGGCATAATTATAACAGGATGCTGGCTTTTGATCATCATCTTCCTTCTTTCAAAGAGCTTATACAGCTTTGGACTGTAGAGAAAACATCCTCACATTTCTTCTGAGGCAAATTCTTTGCAGTTAGTAACAAAGGGAGTGACAACCGGTGTTTAAAAAGTTATACTGAAATAATAACATTCCAGTTTACAGAGGCACAGTGAGAATTACAAATGCTTATGAATTTTGAGTTTGAAAGCAGTATTAAACTTTGCTTTTAGTAACTGTATCCAAACTCAGAAATATTAACAAACAATACAAATAACTGATTTATCAAATGGTCTAATAAGCAACTGATCTCTCTACGCTGAGATCTGCTTTCTCTAAGGAAGATATCTATGGGATCTCAGAAACGCCTGTAACATACTATGTTGGTATAAGGAACTTATCAAGTTCCTACAAACAAGTATACATTCATTTCCCCCACCCTGTGGCTTGGTATTTAAATGCCACGTGATGTTTAATACCCTACTAAGGGCACTAGCTGCCTTACAGCTACGCAGAGATGCAGAGAATTTGCTTTGACAAATCTCTCCCTATTACTAGGGAAATCCAGCAGTGAGTATCACTAACTCCAGGTCACACTGCGAGCAGACACACCAGTGGAGCCAACTGGAACAGGTTTTCTGACACCCGTGCAGAGGCGACGACTGCTGCCTAAGACCACTGAAGATCCTGCCAGATATTTGCGGGATACAAATGTACAAATGTATGCTGAGACAGAACATTGCACTTCAGTACAGTGTGCCTGAGGGAGTTAGTCAGAAGTCTAAGGTTTCTTTTGCTTTTCTGACTTTATGGAGCTACACAATATACTTGTCACTGTGTCTCCATATATTAGACTGTCAGCAAAACTCCATGAACGGCTACATACTGGTTTTCCACCACAATGATTTTCCGAGTACCATTCTAAGTTTGCTTTCTTCCGATAGCTCTTTTATCATGTAGGTTTTCTTTTGCATTGTTTTATGTGCAGAGAGTTTTTGAGTTGCTATGTCCTTTCTAGACTTTTGGAACGTATTAAGTTTGCTTAGCACTCCTGACATAAACTTGTCTTTCATACCTGGAACCAGGTATCACCCCCTGTAGCTGTGATCTTGTCAGACTCATCAGGACGAGAGGAAAGACCTTCAGTAAAAATCTACATTAGTTTTGCAAAGAAGATTGCTTCCTGCCATTTTGAACATTCATTTATTTATTCAGAGTCCAGATGATGGTGATGTGGTCTCATCAGATCTCACAAGGAATTCACAATTCCTTCCCTGAGAGTTGGTGATGTGACAAATGCAGTCAGCTTTTTTCCTATCTGTTTTCAACTTATGATGTTCATCTTCAGAAACAAACGCTTCTGAAAGCATTCCTGATGTGGGTGCTGTGAAGCTGCAGTGAACAGCTGCTGCCCACCCTCACTCTGGGTGCTTTTTCAAAAAAATATGTGGGATTGTGTCAAGATTTCTGGTTAACGGGTGTTATTAAGTGACTGTGTGTGCATCTTGTAGGCCAGCTCTGATAACCTATTTCTGCAAATCTATTAGTGGATGCAACAGTAGTAGTGATGCCACAATACTATAAGCCTCCAAGTATTTTTACATTATATGTCAGTCTTTCATTAGTTAAGAAGTCTAGGTTTGTAAGCTCAGAAGGTTATCTCAAAGCTTAACACTTATTTATATGAAGTCAGTAGGACTGTTAATGTTCCCATTTGCTAGGATGATTAGGTTTTTCCAATGTTTCTGGCATATCATTTCTTGCATCCGCAATCTTTTACCCATACCTACTGCCATAGGTCACCCTAATAGCTTCTTTCTCTTTCCGCTTCTTGCCCTTGTTTGAACTCCTTCTCAAGGGAGCCCTACAAGAATATTAGAAAACATCAGGAAACATCTTTGAAATTTTACTTTCAATCCTTTTAATGAAAAAAATAAGTATTTTAAATAACAAAATGCTTACCCAAGATCTGCAAGTTTTCGCTTTAGTTTTTCTGTATGCCCTATAGTAGGGCTAGTTGTTCTTGCTGCCTGAGCACATGTGGCACCATCTAGGATACATTTGTACACGGAAGAATGTGCATTATTATTTTTAATTGCTACTGATAGCTATTCCATTTTCCATCCAGAATAGTTTGTGTATCTTCATAATTAGATACGCATACATGTACAAGTGTGTGAGTACACAATTTAATTAGGTGAATTCTTCTCATTTTTAAGAAGATGATGTGAAGAGGAATAAAAATAAATACTTTTAGAATTTGAAAATAGACATGAAGAAATCTTATTTTAATTGAAGAAAATGAAAAGTTAATTTTGGTTGAGTTTTACTGAATATGTAGTAAGTCGAACAACACAAAAGATTTACAGGTAATCAATACAGTGAATCCATTTTTAAACTCAGCAGTAGCCGCTTAAGTTTCCTTTTACAGAATTCATTTGGTATGTATGCTTTACTTCCAAAATGACTCCTGAAATACTTTCTTGAACTTTGGAGCCAAGGGTACCTTTTATGATGGACATGCTAGGCAATAGTTATCTGTTTAGCTTGAACATCTTTGTTAAAATAAACATTTAACTTGAAATCCAACCATTCTGAATTAAAAAAAAAAAGAATTAAAAGTAGCTTAGTTAATAAATTTGCCCTGAGACGTCTACCAAGTTTTGATCTCTTCTACAAATACTGTTAAAGCCTAAAGAGGAAAGCCTGCAGCACCTAGAAAGCCAAAACAATGAATCTGAGTCTGCAAAACAACCTGTGAAATCCATATGGAAACCAAAAGAAAACACACAGCAGTTGAAAAATTCAGACACAGTTTCTGTGATTCTTAAACATAAAGAGCGTCCCCAAATACTCTAGAGGAAGCAAATGAAGGTCAATCATTCATGCCACTTGCGGTTTAGTGACTTTTACAACGTGACCTCAGATGTACAGCGGCTTTTAACTGAAAGCACTGCTGGGTTTGTGGATTTCTCCTACTGTAGCTGACATAAATTAAGCCCTCAGAATTAACCCGAAATACCACAGCGCTATCACAGGACAATCAACTTTGTGTACAGAACTTTGTACGTTGCTTTGTGGATAGTATTTGGCCAAGTTTTCATTCAAGTAAAAAAATCAATGCGCAACTGGTTCATAAATCCTGGGAATAGCAGGAAAATAAGCCTCTTGCAATACTCACGCTCTAAAAGCTGTACTATTTCTACCAACACAAGTCCTTATGTTAAAAAAAAACATTCAAGAACAACTGACAAGTAACCTCATGCCAAAAAAGCAAACAAAAAAAAAGTAATATGAAGAGTGACAAAAGCAAGGCGAAGTCTCCTGAGAAAAAATCCATTCCCAAGAGAGGCCGAGGAAAACTTTAGGCAATGCATACTGTGCATCAACCCTACACTGCACACGCTTCTCTCCTGTCTCCTCTTATGGTTCCTCTTTTACCTTTAATACATATTCTCATTTAACCACTGTCAAAATTGCCACTTTCAAGAATAAAAGTCATAATGTTTATTTTCACACTAGCTATTCACAGGCAAGTGGGGCTTGGGGGCCAAGGGGTGGTGGGCTTTTTGGAGAAACTTCTTAATGAAAGTAAATGAAACTGTAAGGTACACTGCTTTTGTGGTGGGCAAATAATGAAAGCATTCAGTAGCTGGAGGTGTTGCTGCTGTAGAAGAAATAATCTGGAGAGCTCAGCAGGGACATGTAGCAGCTACCTGGTACGGCAAATTTCTGTTTGTATCACTATGCTCCCACTCACATGCAGCTTGGCCCAGCCAGGGCCCTCTGAATAATGAGGATTTGCTGGGGAAAACAGTCATGCTGGCTCTGGGATACAGTGGAAGATGGATGGGCTAGGTCCCAAAACCAGCTTCAGCGGCAGAGTAGATTCGAATCTACAGGGTCTTGCACACATGGAGGTACGCAGTGCTTGGCACATGGCAGTGGCCATGAACCAGGGCTGCAGGTGCCCTGCCTCGGCAGGAGGAGACTTTGACCACCCTGGATGGGTGCATCTTCCCTGACTCCCTGTAGTTGTTCAGAGAGGGTGAGGGAGAGACGGTTCCTCAGAATAAATCACACAGAAGCTGTTTAATCCATCACTTTCAGCCTCAAGGAGCTGGTGTAAGTAATCTGTGGCAGGAGAATAGACCTAACTTTCTTCCCCAAGGTCACAAAACAGTTGCAGCCAGCCTCACATCAGCGGAGTATTGCCCATTAGGGGTCACCTCAGCTGCCTTGTCAAAGGATTGCTGCTGCACAAAACAGGCAGAACTGAAGAAAATAAATTAATCATACACATACATGAAGAAGTTGTGCTTAAAAGATGAACAAGCAAAATTCCACATCATTTTGCAATGAAACTGATCTCATGCCACTTCAGCTCTTCCCACAACACTGCAGGATCTCGTAAGAAAAAAAAAAAGACAAGCGTGAGCTTGCTAACGCTTACTTTTGCTAATGAGAGATTAATCAATGGACACACACGTGTCCACAGATGTGCTCTCTTACCACCTCTAAAAAAACCCCGCCTGAACACACAGAACAAATACAATGGCCCTTTTTATTTTCTGACCTGTAAGAGTTTGACAGCCAAATTAATAATCAATTAAAATTGTATTGCTACAACACCTGTTGCCAAACAACTGCTTTAGGATATTTCTTTTTTGTAGGACTCATTGAATGCAAATTTTCCATTTGAAACTAAATTGCTCTGAAACTTAATTTTCATGTACTCATCAAAATCTGGATATACCCAAAAGCACTGGTTGTTTACTTAACGGTCACAGTGGGGAAAGCATGACACCAATATTTTTAGACAGAGATTATTTTTCAAACCTAAATTGGAAAGAGCGACACAGTGGGTGGAATATAATACCCTATTCCTTACACTACAAGGCTAGTCTCCACTAAATTTTTATCAAGATATTTTTCATACATCAGTTGGAAATGCAGGATTTATGGCTTCACTGATAAACCAATCATACAGTCAAGCTGAAGTACGAGTTTGGAAAGTCACATTCTTATGTTCACACCCTTATTTTTACCTGCAAAACTCAAATATTGAATTTAACTTTGATTCATTAACAATTATACAATTAGAAACTAGGCAGTTAGACTAGCAATTTCAGAACCCATGTAAAAATGCTAGTACATATTAACCTGTCCTAAATTCAACAAAATTTCATTAATCTGTCTTTTAGGAATCTGTGTGAAAGCCCTGTATGAAGATGAAGAAAAAATAGGTTGTAAATCAGTGGCAAGTCTTTTCAGACACACAAACAAAAATCCTCAACAAATTGTTCTTTTCAGTTAAGTAAGCCGAAGTCTGTTATGAACCTATCCAGACCTATTCCCGCAGTCCTCACTTACAAACAATTTTTATCACATATTTTAGCTTATGTAACAGTTAAAGAATGCAAGGTGCATAGCTAAGAATGCTGAAGTTGTGTAAAATGCTAATTTTGACTTCACAAGGCATCTGAAAAGGAGGGCTCACTATTCTGTGCCATATCGTATTCTTAATACATTTAATAAACTGGTATCAGAGACATGTACCTGAGCTAGGTATGATGGCATCATGTTTTATCCAGCTTACATTTAAAGAACCTGAATTAAATAAATTACAATGTGGCCAACCTCCCCAACAAATTACTTGATATTTTTTTTCTGTAAATGAAGAGTCTCCAGACAGTAACCTCTTGCTTAATCTAGACTATGCCATCTCTCAGCAATTAAAAGCTACAATCTGTTATTCTTGCTTTACACTCCTTTCCCCACCCTCCAAAAAAGCATCTAGCACTGCCAAAATCACATAATTCAAATAAGTACACTGTGTTAAGCATGTTTCTAATACGGAAATGTTCCAAGGTCCATTAATTTTATTTTTTTAAAACAAAATACAAGATTTTCTTAAAGGCAACTTCCCCCTAGCTTTTTCAGTGAGTTCTAAGAAAGAAAAAAAAAGAAAGGAAGCAGTTCCTGATCTCATTTTAAACTTTGTCGTTTTCTTATACCATCATACAAGGTCATTTGTAATTTTTTGACTTCCAGGTAGACAAAAGAAGTTATGAGATGATGGCCTTCTAGTTGCTAAGGTCCTACTATATAACAAAAGTTCATAAAGTAGATGTAAGTGAGCAAAATGATGCGTCAACTTATTGTAAAAAATAGTAATACCTTTATCCTGTAAAATATTCCTGCCAGCTGGGTGATGCAAAGGAGATGCTTCAGAGCTGTGCCCAGATTTTGAAGGAGAGGAAAGTGGAGTGCCTCCCCGAGCATGCGGGGAAAGGACACCTCCTTTGTGGTGCTGTCCTTCTTCTCGGTTTTCAGTTAGGTTGTCAAGTGAGATTGCTGCACTGCTAGCCACGGGGGAGAGGGAGGAAGCACCAGAATCTGATGCTGGTGAGGATGCTCTCATGCATAAGGGCAGTGGTGATTTTGAAATGTGCATGGGACTACTGTAACTGTTTGACGGCTGTTGGTATAAGAGATTATAAAGCAGGTTATACCATATAGTAACCAATCAGAGCAAGGTTTACTTTGAACATGCAATTCTTTTATTCATTATTTAGCCTTCTATTTGTACGAAATGCTTTAGCAATTCATGCCATTACCTTTTGATACCACACACAGTGTCGTTTACTGGTATTTGCTTTCAGACGGAAGTCAGGATAGGACAAGACAACGGGTGAATACCATATCAATTGTGTTAACAAATTAGCAAATAGAGAAATGCACGATTCAAGTTCCTTTCACCTCCTGCATAAATGAAAGAACCCACTCTGCATTATAAAGCACACGTAAATCAGAAAGCCCAGGATTCTTGTTAAAAAAAACACAACAAACCAAAAAAAAACAGGTGTGCTGACTCAAAGGAGACCAGACTCGCACATCACTCAAGGACATTCATAGCATACTGGCCACAGAGGAATAAATACTGCCTGTGCTACAATGAAAGGACAAAGACAGAGGATGAAATGACTTACAGGGGCAATCTAGCACTCCATAGGAAGCCCAAAAGAGAGGGTAGAGTCCTTCTCACCTTTCGTTCAAGGCTGTCCTCTCCATCAGTTGAACTGATGCTATCATACAGCCTTGTTCTAGAAGGCCTTTGCCGCTTGTTCTTCACTGAAAGCTGAGCTCGAGTCTTCAGAGCTTTGGAGTCCAGTCTCTCCGTTTCTGGCACTGCTTCATTGAAATCTGTGTGGAAACATGATCTGAGGTTATTTAACAGAAGAATCTTTCACTACTTTTTCCTAAGACAGGACCTGCAATTGCGAGTACATGCACTTTGCATCTTTTACTTGTACCTGTATCTTCGTAACTGTTAAAGTACACATGCAAAAAAAAAGGTTATTTACATAAACCATTAGCAAGTTTATCTATACAGATCCAGTAAGTGCATAGCAAACAATCAACTGCAAATATTTAAAAATTCAACAAATGATTCCCACTGTTAAGTGAAGGATCACACAAAACCAGCTGTACTAGCCCAGAAAGCAGGTCCACTTAGACTCCCTCAGAGGGATTTGCATGTGCTTGGCCTGCAGAGAGTTCTCCTTCATCAGGGCATAAAGCAAAGGAATCCTCATCTCACTGCTCTTTGACAGGCATTTCCCAGCATCTGGTTGAGTATGCCAATTTAGATGCAGGGGACCAATTAATTTATCTCCAATCCTGCCCTTTTTAAACCACTCGAGGAGGAGGGACTGGACTGCCATTTTTTCCCACAGCCGCCCCACTAAACACTTCCCTTACAACTTCACCAGTTTTGCAGGCTGCTCATTGAATTACAGAAGAAATATCTAGAGCAGTCCTCAGGCTGCTCTACATTTTATCATAATCAGAATGGCTTATATATTTAAAGAACATGACTTGTTCTCTCCTGTACCCCAAAATAACCTTGTACAATATGTGCAAATTATGAGCAAGCAATGTCTGCAGTCAGTAGTGCACAGAGGGTGATACAGGTAATATCCAAATAATCAGATAACCATTTGTGATTGGATTGCCTTACAGGCAGCCTTTCACAGGATTATGAACAAGTGTTAAACTCATTCCTTTGGACCTACAGTGAAACAGGTTGCTTACTCTATTGCACTATCCCTCTCAGGAGGGGACAGCAGAGAGCAATCCCAATCCTCCTCTGGATTCTGAGGTCATCTGTTGTTCAAAGTTCTATGTGACAATACAAATAAGGTGCCCCAATTGTTCACCCCAATCCTTCTGCAAGTAAAAGCATCTTTTTATTAGCACCTGGCGGTCTCATTTGTTACTTCCTCCCTTGCCACACTGTCCTCAGAACCATTATCTCCTCTTGTAGATTCTGCTCGCTTTTATTCAGAGTTCCTTCAAACTCTTAAAATTTACATAAACTCAGGTAAACTTCAGTAAAACATCTCTGTCAGCACCAACCATTGTGGTCCCTCATACAAACAGATTGATACGAATGACCTAACATGAATAGAGCCTTGCCTCACTTGCACTTGGATCACATCAGAAGACACTGCCATGCCCCTCTCCTTAAGCAGGAGTCTCGAGGACATGATCATCACTGTGATTATCACTATCTACTGCGGTTGTCTGGTTTCAGCTTTCCAACAGCAACACATTTTGGCAAAATCATTAGCAAGGCAGTGTTATAGCTTTGCAGGAAGAACCCACGAGTGCAGAAATAAAATTTCACTGCAACCAGCTGTCAGTGATGTTGTGTAAAGTTTATCATGACAGTGAAAATGAAATTAAATTAATCCACCCAGAAGGTCCATGAAAGGCACCCTGAATCACAGCTGTTCAAGGCAGGAATGGGAAGGCCATGATCTGTACAAGAGCGAAGGGACTCTGGTTATCCCTGATTAGAAAAATGGCTATATTGTGTGGAGCAAGACATGGACTGTTAGATCTGTCATTATCCTGACCTAATAGCTCAAAAACTCTCTGAGATTTGCAGTAAGGCAGCAGTAATTATCCCAACAAAACCCAACAAAGAGTCACCAGAAGATCTGGGTGAAAGCTGGGAGATGTACTCTACTCTCCCATTTCTTAACTCTACAAAGTTGCTGTATCTCCTGAACATCTGGGGTTTGTGCAGATGTTGTCTTCTACCATATGTACTTTAAAATAACTAAATGGAAAAAAACCCCAAAACCCCAGGGCTGCATTATTTTTATATACCATCAGAAAAAAGCTGGACACTGTCACTCTCATGCTTACTCACTGTTGTCTTTGTACATAAAACTTCCTGCTGGAAAAATAATGAAAACCCATTTCTTTGGTTTTGAAGGGAAAGCAGTTTCAGGTCTTTCCCCCTTCATCTGCTGCCCAAACACTATTATGTGATACATGAAAACTGGAGAAATATTTCATATAAAAAATGGAACAATGAAACCATCTTACCTGCCTAGGTTCAAAGCCACCCTATTCCTGAATGTCTTGTGAGCAAAGTATACTAAACACTTCATATATGGCTTGCCTCTACAAATAGAGCTAACATAACTGCACTTTTCTTAGCTATCAATCTTCCACTCAAATGAAATCTGAGTGTTTCAGCAAATTCAACATTTTACAAAGCTGCAGTAAGACAAAACACATTTTAAAAGGTGTTTTCGCATTTTACTCCAGACAAGAAATAGATTCTTTATGGTTTTAACTTTTTTGTTTCTTGCAATCCTCATAGTACAAATCAAACCAGAATCGTTAGATTTATTTACTTGTCCAAGTGCTGCATTCATAACACACTAATTAATTAGAAGCTGATCTTACAGATATTTTTGCTTTAATCAAATATAAACTGAGACATCTTAGCCTCACTGAAGCTAATGAAGAAACTCTGACCAACTTGAGCAAAGCTGAATTTTTTCCCACTGCTTGCCATGACATCCTGACCTTCAGTCTCAGAGAATGTGATTTCACCAAGGGTAGAACCGACTCAGTGACTTACCACCATCACAAAAATGGAGAGCTCTTGCTCTCTCTCCTGCTGTCCCAACCCGCTGGTCTGAGTGACACCCTCCCCCCACCCCAGGATTTGGACTGCAGCTTGACGATTCAAATGACTGACCCAGACGAAACTATCCAATTTAGTCTGATACTCCAACCTCTTCTCCTCTTAGATCAGTTTTCTGTTGTTTCAGTGAATCAGTGTGTGCACAGAAGTGTGAGTGCTGGAACAGGGCAATGGAAGAGGCAGAACCAGGTGGCTGGACAAAGGCAGGGATAGCGTAGAGTCTCCCATTTCAACAGTAATGATCTGTCAGTTCAGCTCAAACTGCCTCTTGAATCAAATCAAAGCCACATGTTGAGTTAGTATGCCAGTAAATAACTGAGGGGTAAGGCTCATTCAAACTCATTTTTATTTTTGCAGATGTATGTTGTCTTAAAGCACCACAAAGACTTCCAGTACCTTGTTTTGTTTTTCTTCTTTGTGCAAGAGTTAAACTCCGCATACAGATGACACTACAGAATCATTAGCATTGTCTGACTTGTAATTATGCTTCCACCGTAAGCACTCGATAGGATAACTGCACATTGACATGACTTGAACTGCTTATATTTATTTTTTCAGGTGTAGGCACTTCCATACATCCCTTCCTTTCACTGCTGAAATTATGCGAACTATTGCCATAGCACTGCAAACATGTATTCACTTAGGTGGTCACATTGGCCTTGTTTAAGCAAAATACCACCTGGGCCTGGAGCTTACTGCTCCCTCCACCCCAGAGCTGGGCTGCTTGCACTCAATGGTACGCTGCAGGTACCTAACCGTGGTTCAGCCTGCTGCAAAGAAAGAGCTCACACAGCATCAGTAAGGGCTCCTTCCTCGTCAGAGGCTGCGTTTAAGCTAGGCTCCTGCCTTCAGGCCATGCACCCTGTGGATCCGGACCTGAGCCACAGCCCACGGACAGACCTCCCAGCTTGCCCTCCGACCTGCCTCACCACTATGAACTTGCCCAGGCTCCCAGCTGACCCCGGTTTCCATCACTGGACCTGCCCTGCTCGCCACACTTGGGTGCAGCAGGACTGGGCTGCTGTCGGGTGGTCTCTGCCCCAGCCACCCGTGCTGTCACTCTCAGTCCTGGCTCCCTCTTCTGCAGAGAGCCACCAGCCCTCGCTGCTCCCCAGCACAAACACCCCCCCCATGTGTTTGTCTAGGAATCTCCCAACCCACTGGGAAGCCTGATAAATCTCTCACATAAAAGTCATAACAGGTTTTATTTTGCTCTCAGAGACGATGTAATTAGACTTTCTTTCAGCAGGCGTTAAACCACTTGACTCCAATGGGCTTCCATCTGAATTATTTCAGTACCACTGTGGAGCAGGAAAGAGTTCACCTGTCCTCCCACTGTTTTTCCATTATACAGGCTGATAGATTCAAAATCTCCTTCTGTGAACTGTTGCATCCCTGGGTATCCCAAGGCACCCAGAAAGTATAGCTATCAAAGCGGCTTAAATGGGCATTTGCACAGCGATGAGCAAATACTGTCAAAGTCGGCATCAGCACTGAACTGTTTAGATTTCAAACCACTGACTCCTTCCAGTAAATAGTTTGATTCTCTGCTGCAGACACAGCTCATGACCACTAAACCAGAAAGCTACAATGCACTTTATCTATTTTTCTGTACTCTAAGAATAAGTCATAGATTTGTAAAAGAAACACAATCCTCAGGCTTCTAGTATTCCCAGCAAAGCAAAGGAAGAACTCTGTGGGCCATACTGGTTTTGATTTTCTCTTTCTAACTTCCACTGACGTTACTGGCAGCCTCTCAAACTCAGTATGAGGTTATGTTACAACCTGAGGAATCATACAGTCTGGTGTGATGCTAAACACAGACGGAGCACCTGCAGTGGCAGGGACAGCTATGCTCATATGTACGCGACTATCAAGTCGCATCCATTAGTTCTTCCCAAATCTATTGCCATGCAAGAATGTAATAAACACCTCAGATCACATTGAAACAAACAAAAAAAATACTTAGTATCATTTTAATTAAAATATATAGTTTTACATAACCTGATTTTTTGAGGGAAGACAGACCTGCAAACTTCAGAATAAAAATTACGGGATGTGGCTGCATACATGCAGTCCCACTCCACAAACCTAATGCTGAGGCTCAAGAAGAAGCATGTGTTATATTCACCCAATAAAATCCAGGAAAGAGACAGGAGCACTTCCATGGATGTCACAGAAATAGTATGCACAACACACTGCACCCAGAGGAACTCTGCTCACCCTCCAAAGACATCGTGGACATCACCCCCGCCCTTTATAGCTCCTCTGCAAACATTCACAGGGTGATTAGTAAATACACTAATTATTAGTGATTAGTATTACTAGACAATGGCAAGTCCTTTTCTTAAAAGGTTTACACAAGGGTGATATGGAGACATAGGCTCTTTCTCTGCAGAGCAAGTATCAATACATGACTGAGACAGACTTCAGAGACTTTGATACGGAATTTACTGGCAAAGGTATATGGAAGTCAGAGTGCTGCAGCATGTTTGGGGATCTCTTTATTTTAAAAAAGGGCTTTTCTTTTTCTCTTGTTAAAAACACAAATCCAGCCTGGAATCTAAGGTCTAATTATACTTTTTCTGCTTTCAAAAAATCACTGCTGATTGTCTATTTTTCCTAGCAAATAATTTGTGTTTGTATTCAGGTGGTTAAACTTGGGCATTTAAATTCACAGATCGTCTATTCTAACTCTCAGAAGTACTGAACACCGTTTCTCCAGGGGAACATTTTTGCAATGAAAAATGGTAGCTCTTGGAAAACGAAAATTTTCATGCAAATATATCAATTGAAAAATATAATTTGAAGTACTGACACACAGAGTTTTAATGTTTTATAAAGAATTTCCAAATTTTTAGAAAGAATTTTACAAAGAATTTTTTTTTACATGGAGAAATTCCTGGATTTCAGCTCTTGAGCCATGGATGTGGGTTGACATTGTTACAACAGTAAGTGTAAAAATGATTTTTGTGAGTTAGGTGAAGAAAACACACTTTCCTTTCCTGATGCAAACTACTGAAAGGGTTTCTGTTAACAGCATTGCTAAGTATTAAATATTTTGTAACACTTACTGAATCTCTATGGCAGAAATACAGACTTTCTTGTCATCCCAAGTGCTTTTCTGAACTTCAGAGATTTCAGTATAATAAACACTTGCCAGAAAGAAACAGCTCTGTGAAGATTTCTGGAAACCTTTTCCACAAGGTCTGAGATCACCCAAATACCGTTTCA